CTGAACTAGAGAACCCTCGTTTCTTCTACTATTATATGATGTGTGTGTTACTTCCAATGGACTGTACTCTTTCATACTCATTAGATGTTTAGTGCTTGATTGGAGTTCAGGAGATTGAGCTAGAGAGAGAAGGGAAGGAGGTTCTTTGTTGGGGAAGAGAAGAAAGAGGAAGGAATGGCGGTTTCTTTGAGGATGATGAAATGATGTAAAGCTGAGACGAGATGGGGGGGAGGGGGGTCTTTGTTATGTGCTGGGGGAGGGTATTGAGAAGTAGATAGAAGGAAGAAAGGGAGGAATATTTAGGGGGCTTTTTTGTTATATGTGATACGAAACGAAATGAGAGATGAAGACAAGAAGAAGACATAGAACAGTATTTAGCTGATTGAAAGGACACTACTGGGAGATGAGAAGAGAGGTCGGTGATGGTATAATAGAATGATAATATTTAGTACAAAATATTCACTCACATTTGAAATGGATACCAAAGGACTATTCTAAAACTTATGGAGTAGAAATGCAAATTAGTTGAGATATATCATACATACATAATATGTTACTCTATCTCGTTCGATACATTATAAGTTGAGGAAAATTACAGAAACATAATAAGCAACAAGATGAATAGATAAACAGCATATCCGCAAACTCTCTTACACATAATCCTCATGCCAATCATCCTCCTCCACTTCCTTTCCCTTCTTCCCCTTGACTTCTTCGGGCACCTCTTCCTCGCCAACCCCCAACCTCTCACCTGCCCCCCATTTCTTCGTAAATCTGTTCTCCACCAACTTCATATTCGTGATTCTCCTAGCCTCCTTTTCGCTCAGCTCCTTCCAGTGCCTCGATTCCCTCTGTTCCATATCGTAAATTCCAGTTTTCTTCTCCTTACCCTCCTTCACCTTTGTCTCCAAATCTTCCAAATCCATAATCATATCATTCAAGTGTCTCCCCTTGATCAAATGAGCACGGTCATGCTTCTTATAGCTCTGTCCTGGTATTGTACCCGGCGCATTACGGATACGAGTTAACGCGAGTGCGCGTTGAGAAATATCCGTGACTTTGTTAAGAACGGATCCAGGATGTGGATATTCTGTTACTATTTCTTCATTTGTCAGTTCTTTTGTAGACTTTCGCTGTTCGCTTCGGAGTTTACTGTCGATAAGCTCATTATGTCTATTTATTTTCTGAATGCGCTCTTCTCGGCTGATTTTTATTGGCTCTTTAGGAGTTGCCGTACGCCATGCGCGTAGAACAAGACGCTTCCAATCTACGGTGGAAATCTGCTCACTTAAGGGACCGGGTTGGAGGATATGGTCTGAATTAACCCAGAGATCGAGTTCGGTGTCTGAAGGAAAATTGCCAGCAATAAAAAGTGAGCTTTTGAGAGCATCAAGAGAACTGTGTCGGAGGACCGCGCTGAAACGATAAATTTCTGTGCCGGTACGATCAGTCCTACCAGGAGGAGGTTTAATTCGTCCGGCTATACCCACTTTGACGTTCTTTTCTTCCTCTCTGAAACGGTTGACGCGGGTGATTAGGCCAGAGATAGATCCCCACTGTGGAATTGATTTGTGGCGACACCAAGATCTCAAATCGTCTTCTGACCATTGGGATGGTTCTGGAGCCAACTTGTGCAGAGGTGCTAATTGCTGCTCTAAAGTGAGGCCCACTTGAGGTGAGGGTTCTCTCAATTCCTCGCCCTTGATTACTCTTTCGAAGTAAGCTTTACACTCAGCTCTGACCTCCGCCCTCTGACTAGGAGTATTTGGAACAGGCATTTTCATTCTTACAGACAAACTGTCTATATCTTCATCCACAAAAAAGTCTATCAGGCCAAGGATGTACTTTGCTACAAGAACCGACTCCGGTTTTGGATCATCGTCATGAATCTCTCCCCAAAGTTTCTCTAGGAGATGGTACTGTATTTTTCGCATAATTTTATTCCCCATTTCCGTACCGTTGTCGAGTTTTGCTTGTTGTGCTGCGGCAGTTTTAGGTAATTGGAGCAACGAAAGACCATGTTGCAAGCAATAATACCATGCTTGAATTCTTGTCCAATGGCCAATCTCATTTGCCGATGCTTGGCTAAGTGCTTTCAAAACTTTTTCTGCAAGTGTAGAATTCTTATCCACCTTGTCTGCTTCGAGAAATGTTCTCAAACGCTTGCTTGGTCCTGAAAGAGAGTTGTTCAAGCTTCCGCGTTTTTTGACCCTTGGACCTGATGCGAACATCTCAGAGGCTGCTGCTTTTTCTTCGGCAGCTATTTCAGCCCAAACCTCTTTCCGAGCCTCTTCCACTAGTTTGTTTGGCGGAATGAGTTTTGTCGACCTGGGCTGGAAATCGGTTGTCGGACGATAGCGAACTTCGATTTGCGTTACGATTTCGGAATCATCATCTTGAATGTAGCCTATGTCCTCATCTAACATTCCATCGTCGTGCGTCTCGATGCTATAAGCAATTACCGTTCTATTATTATTCCCGGCAATGACCTTATCTTCCCATGAACAGGGCGTTTGTTCTCTTAGCAATCGTTCAAGCTCAGCATCGTAATTTTTATCTATTTCATCATGTATAGTGAAAGTAAAGGACTGCTTTTCTAATTTCATTTGCGCGACGATTTGGTCTTTTACGAGTCCTTGGACAGGCTGGCCCGAAGAGAACTTTGAAATTCTATAGTGGCCTTTCCATCTAGGAAGTTTTGCAATCGGATCCATCCACCAATTTGCCTTCACAGAGATAGCAGCCTCCGCTTTGTCACTGTAATCCAAGTTTAAGCTCTTTTTCAAGGTCGCAGCGAGTTGATGTAGAGGGACGCCGCGTTGATTAGCTTCCCACCAAGTCTGCCGAAATGCGTTTGAGAGATAACTGACAGGAATTGCATAGAGTTTTTCGTATAATGGCCGCTTGTGTTCTTTTTCATTGCCAAATAACTGATTGGTTTTAAATAAAGGTTGCCAATATAAAGACCACCCCAGACTACCAAATTTGGCATCTTGGTCATAAGATTCGCAGAATTGAGGATGGAATCCATTGAAAATCCAGCTCACGAAAGACCTTCCTAGCTCGCTATCGACGTCTTTCTCAACGTAAGGCTCATCACCAGAAGGTGGGTTGAACGACCGGTAATCTTGGAGGAATATTGCATGTCCAATTTCATGAATCATTGTAACTGCTGCCATAAACTGTGCTTTAACGCGAATTTCGGAACCAACCGGGTGGGTACGCATTGGTACCAATAGTAAATCCATGATTGCAATAACGAGTGGCCGTCGTACCCGGCCTGCTTGAGCAGCTTGTAAATCCGATTCCCTGACCTCATTCTCATCGAGTTCGTGAAAGTCTGCTTCTCCGTAATCTACTATTCTTGTGATACCATTCCAATTCCGAGTCGCATGCATTCTATCATTCAATCTCCATTTGATACATCTTGCGATGTCTTCAAGCTCCAACTCTGCTGCTTGAAGGTCCTTGAGCAAAACTGTGTGTTTCAACGGAATTACTTTTGGGCAGACAATATGGCTATGTTCAGCGTGCGATACTTCTTGCGGCGAGCCAAAGATGATGCTTGATGGCAAAAAACTTGCCAAATACGGCATTCCGACTTCTAAAAGCCGTGTGGCAAGTCGCATACTTGGCATTAAGAGCTGGTAGTCCTCATCAGAGACTTCCCATCTGCTGCGTGCAAACAATGGATGGACAGGGCCAGTCAAACTTGGAGCTGGTCCTCGAGGTGCCACTAGATTCATCAGTTTAGACAAGCAAGACTGCAATTGAGAATGACACTTACACATAGCTCCTCCAACTGCTAGACTTGTAGGATCCCATGGCTTTGATACTGCACCTTTCACCACACCTTGTTGTGAATTGTCTCCTGCCATAATGTCGACAGCAAAATATAGACTTCAAGGGCAACTTTGCACTATACTAAAACCTCGATGATATTTGTTAATACAAGGCAGAGAGTGTTAGACATGGAGCAGTAGTCTTAGCATTCCTCGAATAAGCGCACATGAAACTAAGAATGTAGATGCTATTGAGGTTAAAAGAGAAATCCGATTTCATTGTTCTCCAAGAATCACAGAGTTCTTTCATTTCCGATTCCTTTGCAGTATTCTTCAACACTTCAAAGACTCTCTCTTTGATGATTTTGGGCATAACAATTGTTTTCGGCCATTTTATGAGTATTCTTCCCATGTGGAAAGAAAACCAATGCACACAGCTATGTTAAAAAGCGAAAGATTCAAATAATAAGACTCATCTAAGTCCACCGATACTATATGAGGAAGTTTGATCATTATTCAAGTGATGATAGCAAATTTCAAGCAGTGATGATATCGGCGGTCGGAGATGAATGAACATATCTGGGAAGTATCTTGAAACCTGCCTTCGTAATAGGTTAGTTGATCGTTGATCGTTGATCGTTGATTCTATCTTGAAGAAGATTAGATTGTTTCTGCTGTAGACCTTGGGCACGGATTTGTATGGTCAAGATAGTCGGCACTCGATTGTGTCAACAAAGCTTGAGTTGAAATCGGAAGATCCAGTTGATAGTCAATACTTCGAGACGAGCTAGAATTTCCAGCTGATAAGCTTCAAGACATGGTTATGTAATCTTGAATGCCGGTACTCGAGTACATTTTTGTGCTTAGACCATAAACACGGAGAAGCTTCCCAAATGGTATTAAGTAGTACCAAGTTGTTGCTGACCATGACGGCGGTTGCCACACCCTCACGGTTAGTATATAAAAGTGATAGACAAGGCAGAGTGGCTGTTGTCTGTCTTTTTAGCTTACTGATGGCTCAATTTCTATACCGAGTAGGTACCTAGTCGCCTGTACCGTGTAGTTCATGACTTTGCCATGTACATTGTGTACACACCACATGTTCGCAATCAAAACAAGTAATTAATATCTTCATAATGTCTTCATAACATGCGTAGCATACATAATATGAGTGTGTGTGTACCTAGGTATAAATACAATCAAAGTCTCTTATATTCGTCACTCGGTTGCTTGCACTCGCTTTCCCTTTATTTCTCTCTCTCTCACAATCATCGACCTTGCTCCCTGCCGTTACTCCTTTATCAACAGGGCTCTATCCTTATAACCCTATCCCGGGGATCACGTATCTAGCTTCCATTCCATCCTTTCTGTTCTGATCAAAGTCCAAACTGTCCAAGCTGTCCAAACTAGGCTCCGGTCTAGTCTCGTTCATATAGTTTAACAATAACAAATAACTCTTGAGTCTCGAGTCTTGAAAACAAGCAAGACAGGTCTGAGGTTCTTTCCTTCATTCAGCAGTCTTGGCAATCCATTGAATCCAAGCTTTAAGGATACCCGACCACAACCTAACAATCATACCAAGACAATAGCAAAGAACACTGACAGCTTCCTTCCAAAAGCAAATGAGAAGGTACTGGTATAACATGTGGTCACCACCAAAAATCAACATGTTCGGTTCGCTCTCAAGGTAGGATTGATTGATCGCGTACGAGCCCTGTCTACAAAACCCATTTCTTATCCGCTGCGGTATTTTTTTCTTTACTTCGTAGTCAGTTCAGTCCTGTTTGCACATTGCATCCATCGGATTCTCGCCCGTATTTTTACCCTCATTCCCCTTTCAAGTTTTTATTTTCTACCCTCTGGATTGGACGGAGTCTTCACCGATCATCAGATTTCCCCATATCCCACCTTTTTTTGTCTTAAACCGTTATACCGCTGATCGATCTTCAACGTTTTCCATACATCGATATTTTGTACATACATCCCTTAAATGCATAATTGCCGATGATAATAATTCCCCAGCCCCCGCAGAGTCTTTACTAGAAGCTCTTCAATTGATTTACACTTGGAAACCCCATCTGCGCTACCTTTTTAGAGGTCAATAATGAGTTTGCCTCAGGATCTCGAGAAAGGAACATTGGCAGAGGAGGAACATGATCAGGAACATGAAATTGGAACGAAAACAGAATCTACTGCATACCAATCCGACAATTCGAGAAACCCTTCGCCGAAGGATGATGGTTCTGCAGATGCATCCATCGCCGACCGAGATTCGAATCTTGAAGCAGTCAAAACAATGGATGAAGGCCCCATCGATGATCTCGAGAGACAAAAGGTTCGATACAACCACTCGCATTGCGCATTTGCGAATTACATACTAACATCCCTTTCCCATTTAGACAACCACCGAATCAATAAAAGTCGGTCCATCTTCCCATCGCGCACATCCAAATTCCGACTCGAACGATAAAACCAGCACGAACTCGAAATCCTCCAGCGGATCCAGACTCGCCCGCATAGCCCATCGATCTCATACTCCGCGCGCCAAACTTCCACCGCGACCTATTCCAGTCTCCAATCTCGCAAACGGTATCGTAGGATGGGAAAGCCAGACCGATCCCGAGATGCCTCTGAATTTTCCGGAAACGAAGAAATGGGTGCTGACGGGTTTACTGGCTAGCATTACTTTTATATCTCCGCTCGCTTCCAGTATGTTTGCGCCCGGTGTAACATTTGCAGACAAGGAGTTCCATAATTCCAGTCTGATATTAAGCTCTTTCACCGTGAGTATCTTTGTCTTGGGATATGTCGTTGGGCCATTAATACTTGCGCCTTTGTCTGAGATGTATGGGAGAAGATATGTTCTTACAGGTGGTAATATAATATTTTGTGTATGGCAGATTGGATGTGCATTGGCACCTAGCTTGAGTACATTGATAGGATTTCGATTTATGGCTGGATTGGGTGGTTCGGGTTGTTTAACCATCGGTGCTGGAATGATTGCGGATTTATTTCATGCGGATAGAAGAGGATTGGCGACTTCACTTTTCAGTCTGGGTCCTTTGTTTGGTCCAGTTATTGGTCCAATAGCTGGAGGTATTTTCGCCATTCATTATACCCATCAAAGTACAGTACATCTAACCAATCTCCAGGTTTCGTAGCCCAAAGAATCGGCTGGCGTTGGGTATTTTGGATTCTTTTCATTGCCGGAACCATCATAACTATCGGCATCGAATGTCTCAACGTAGAAACCAACCCACGTCTCCTCATAAAACGCAAAGTCGCGCGTCTCTCCAAAGAACTCAATCGATCTGATCTCCGCAGCGTATACGATCCAAGCAATTCAGCACATCATTCAAACGCTTCTGTTCTAGCAAATGCCATGATTCGACCCCTGAAGATGTTAGTTTTTAGTCCTATTGTGTTTATTCTGAGTTTGTATATGGCAGTTGTTTATGGACTTCTGTATTTATTGTTTACTACTATTACGACGGTTTTTACGGATAAATATCATTGGGCGCCAGAATTAGGTGGATTAGCTGTGAGTATATCTCTTCATCTCTTTCACCTCCAAAATTTCCATCCTCCCGTTTACCGCAAGTCTAACTGTCAACTAGTACATAGGTCTAGGTTTTGGTTTCTTCCTTGGTCTCGTAGTAGTAGCTCGTATATCGGACGTTACGGTAGTCCGCATGACGAAAGCAAATAATGGGATCTTTGAGCCTGAAATGCGATTACCGGCTTGTATATTTTTTGCTTGCTTTATACCGATTAGTTTTTTCTGGTATGGTTGGAGCATTCAGGGCGGCGTTCATGTAAGTACTCCTCCTCACTACCTTTTTACTTCCCTTCATCCTTCTTTGAAGAGTCTAACATCCCCAGTGGATCGTTCCTATAATCGGCCTCATCCCCTTCGGTTTCGGTATGATGGGTATCTTCATTCCAATTCAAACATACGTCATCGACAGCTTCCCATCCTTCGCTGCGTCAGGAATCGCAGCATTAACGGTATCACGGTCGTTATTCGGAGCATTTTTGCCACTTGCAGGACCGGCTATGTATGCAAAATTAGGTTACGGGTGGGGAAATAGTGTTTTGGGATTCATTGCACTGGCGTTAATTCCGGCGCCGATGATAATTTATAAATTCGGAGGGAGGGTGAGGAAAAGGTTTCCTGTTAAGCTTTAAGTGGAGAGGAAAGAAAAAGAGGAGGAAATTAAGGAAACCGAGGTACGAAAAATAATAAAGTGTGTGTGTGCGTATCTGATATACAACAAAACGCAAAGCACACATGACACGACGGAACAAAACAGAATAGTAATTCCTCATGACGGAAAATCATGAAAGGAGATGAAAACGAGATGAAGCGAAACATCCATCAACCTTACAAAATAACACCCCCCCCCACACATAATTTCGAAAAAATTAGCGAGCATAAGCGATGGAGTTATGATATTCATTGGCGATTATTTGGTTAGGAATTGGGTGTTTATATTAGTATTATTCTATGGGTACTTGCTGGTTGGTTCAGGTTCAGGTCGGGATTGATTGATTGGTGTGCTTGGTGCGTTTGGAGGCAACTTACTATGAAAATGAGGGAATTGGAATTTGGGGGAATTTGAGTACTTACTGAGTACTTACTAAGTACTTATTGAGTATTGAGTATTGAGTATTGAGTGTTGAGTATTGAGTATTGAGTATTGAGTATTGAGTATTGAGTGTTGAGTATTGAGTGTTGAGTATTGAGTGTTGAGTATTGAGTATTGATTGATTAATAGGGGTTTCTTATGATATGATTGCGTTGATTGGAGTTGGAAGAGGATTGAAGATTGAAGATTAAAGGATGGATCCTTTCTTATTGGCTGTTGGTTGGGGGTTGGGGTTAGAATGAGAGTGAGTGAGGGGGGATGTGAAAGGGGGGATGGGGAGGGAGAGGAGGCCATAGAAAATTGTATATAGATTATGTGTGGATGTGGGAGTGAGAGTGGGTAAATGGTTGATGGTTGGTACGTATATATTACACAACCACACATATGATGTTGGTTATACCGGTTTTAATAAACTCGATATGGAGTTTACTCATGAGTGAGTGAGTGAGTGAATTGGAGAATCGAGTTCATTCATTCTTCTATTCATTCTTCTATTCATTATATTATACTATTAATTAATCAACTTGTTACCTAACTTTTCCCCCTTATCCAAAAAAATACCTATCTACTGAATGATTGATTGATTCCTCCAAACAAACATTCAATTACATCTTTTTCATCCAAACCATTCTCACTTCCCAATATATGTTATGTCTGTGTATATGATATGTATCACATATACGTCATCAAAAAAAGGAAAAAAGTTTTTGTTGCATATCGCATAACTTCATGACGTCGATGACGATGATGACGATAGATGAATAAAATGACGTCGGTGACGTAGTTTTTTGACATGTTACGGATTTGGGGATTTGGGGATATATGAAACAACGCCCATATTTTATTTTTGAGATATCTGGGTATTGGGATTGGGATTGGGATTGGGATTGAGAAATGAGATGAAATGGGATTGAAATTAATGCGTGAAGAGGTGCGAAAGAAAATATGAAAGAGAATATTACAGATACAATGTGAATAGATAGTAATTGATAACTCCATATAACATCTTACATTTCGATCTCACTACCACGAGAATACCAAGAATTAAGAGGAGTTGTTTAAGAGTCAACTATGAACACTATTCTTCTGTTCTCTAGGTATCGGAAAGTTCTCTTTGAGTTCGTTTGTTTTGGTCTGATATGATGACTTCTACTCATGTTCACTTACTTCTCACCCCAGGGGATTCGGACCAAAAGGGGTATGAATATAGCTACATACCTTATTTTTGAAAAACAACTGAATGGAATGGAAAGGGAAGAAAAGACGATACAGGGTGAATTGATTCCGAGTGGCCAAATAATTATATAGAAACAAAAATGACAAAAACTACCCTGGTAGAATTTCTCAAGACAAGTAGTGTGTGTATAAAAGCGTTTACTTGCATTCTCGCTGATCACTTCCTGCTAGCTGTCTAAATTAACAATCAACACGTTTTGTATGAATACATTCGGAAAGATCGTGGGGATGAGTCTGTATTCCTGTGCATTTATTGCATGTTTTGAAGAAATACAAGCAGGCGTATTCACAGCGGGTATATGTATTGAGTGATACCTTCATCGACGAGTTGGATGGAAAGCAAGTAAAATAAAAAGATCAGAAGATGAAGACGAGGGCAAGATAGAATGAAGAGTTTAAGGATCGCTAACAGGCCAAAACTTCAAGGACTATTGCTTCGACTGTTGAAGTATTGAATTAGCCGATAAAATTGTAGATCAACCACACGGGTAGAAAAGTTTCACCCCAGGTAAATCTCCTATTCCTTCCAGTCTACCCTTTCGCCACTGTAAGTGTTCCCATAACTAATGAATAAAAGTAGGGAGCACGATAACTTTGATAGTGCAACACTGCGAGAATATTTGTCCTGGTCATAGATATCTTTAGATGAACACCGGACACATTGATCCAATGTGATCACGTTCCAATTCTCATCAATAATCTGTCCCCAATGCTTTCCCAATATGATATCTTCCTCTTCAGATTGTTTATTGTGAATTCGCCTCCCATAATGCAGATCTGCCTTTTTCTATTTCGTAGCACATCAAATGACCTTGCCGTATTATCAGCAACACGCCTAAGCTGTATCACCGCAAAAATTTAACAAAATACCGAGATCTCCAGTGCATATAACCCCACATAATCCCACTGCAAGGTATGAGAGGCAGTGGAACTGTAGACTCGTGATGAGGAGAATAGATTTTGCAAAAGTGTCGAATTCGACATCTCCGGGGGCAAACAAATCTAAGAGCATGGAGGGGAAAAATGCAATATTATGGGTGGGGTGAATTTGTGATTCAATGAAACTTTTGCATTACCATCTTAGGTAAAGAAATACGAGAAGATGAACTACCATCTTTATAGTTGTATATCGCTTTGAACGCATCAGATACGAGGGTGAAAATAAATGCATGAAACCTCAGCCTGAGTAACATCAAATGGTATCCAGATTTTAGAATCGCAAGCAATTTTTTTTTAAATCTGTCCATACATTTTCAGTTGATTGAAAATTTGGTAGCGAGTTCTTGAGATGGAATAAACGGCGTTTGAGCTTGAGGTTTAAGAGTATTTCCAGCTTTCAAACGACGATGCAGGAGATCCTTGGTCATACATCAAGCTGTGAAATGTTATGCAGCCATACTTGCATTTGTATTATCTCGATTTAAACCCAGTCAAGATCCAAAGTCTCGTGATTTTAAAAAAATCCAACGTTTCAAAATAATATGAAGTGGCTTCATCACTAAATTGGGACATCCGACAATGGAATGAGATAAAACCCAGTGACATTCCGAGATCCAAGGTCGATGTGCAATTATAATAGTAACGTTGACACAAGCTGATAACAGATGTCGCTGATTGAAGAATGCGCGAGGAGATAGAGAAAAGGTGACAGGATCGCAAGAACTCATATAGATGTGGAAGAAAATATGATAGAAATAAAGTCAACACTTACTTGGGGCACAGCATATGGGCCATCCAAAGTATTAAGAATATGCGAGTATGAGCTGTCATTCTCTCGGTTCACATCCCCAAATTCTTCATGATTCTCGGTCAATACTTTCCGAGAGAAGTGGTTCGCATGCCAGTGCTTATATATTCCGAGGCAAGTAGAAAGGAGGTTGCCACACATCAAAACTACAGTAAGCTCGAGCATCGCCGGTGTCAGTAGTAGACTATAAAATCTTGTCCAGATATCGTCTCATGATTCTCTCATGTTTATGTAGTGGCTACATCATCGGAAGACATTCCCATAGGTGGAATATACTCCGTATGTGTCAATGTCGAATCATTTTGGTCGATTGGTAGATAGCCATTAGCATTGTGGGAAGAATTTGGACGGAAGTGCAGTACGAAAGCATTCATCTCTTCAATTGTATGAGAGCATCCATGGGAATATCGTGAGGAATGCATTCGTGCGGTATCACCTGTCACCGGTATCACAACTCACGGCTCACCAAGAGCTACTTTATTGACCATGGATTGCTTTGGCCACTAGCTGAACTGAACGATTGTAGAAATTCGTACAACTTCACAGGGTAAGAATTGCCGTATTATCATCAGAAAATGTTAGTCAAAGAAATTGCAATAGAAGTATTCTATGACTTTAGAGAATTTTGACTCGGAAATTCAGAAGTTGCTGAGTGGAGTCGCGGTGAGAAGAGTGATATTGGATAAGAGGAGTAGAGTTTCGGGTCGGAATATCTGGAAGATTCTATGCTAAGACCAAAGAAGGAAAAATATGTCATGAAGAAAGGATTTTAGCCATGCTTGAGGTGTGTCTGGATAAAAGATCTAAAGAAGGTATCATTAGTTGATCTGTGCGTCGTATCAATGCACACTTTGGTCCCTGCAAAAGCGGTTTCGGATGTCTTAGATTCGCCCCATTAAATTTATACAGGGGGTGCACCGTTCTCGGTAAACTCATTCCCCGCCTTGACATGGAAGAAACGGTGGGTGGGACAAGGAGAAAAAAAGTATTTTCATACCTTCACTCAAAACAACCTCAACTCTCAAACCTCGTATGAAAACATGCTTTTGAGTGAGTTAGTTATGACGACTTGTGTTTGATTGATTGACTTGTCAGGAAGTTTGAATTCATTCTGAAGGTAAATAAATATACGAGTAGATGTTGGATGGATGGTAGATGTTGGATATTAGAAGGATGTATGGTAGGGTAGCAGAGAAGATGAGAGGATGAGATTGTCCAATACCTAAAGTCTCAATAAATAGCTAATCGCACCATTCTCATTCGATGGTTCACTTGTGCTTTCGTATACAACTTTAGTGTGTATACGAGTAGGTAGTAGGTAGTAGGTATTGAGATTAGGTCTTGGATGCCGGCTTATTACTTTCCATCTTCCCCATGTTCCGAATATCTTTCGTTAGGTTACATACATGATACTTGATACGTGAACTACATGAAGCACATTAGCACATTCTCCAGTGCTGCTATATTCGGGCAACGCAGGTCAGTCACAGGTGGGAGATTGACAACACTACCTAGTCCCTAGGTAAATAGGTAGGTACTTTCCTTGACCTAATTCCCTCATCAATTGCATTACATCTTTCACATCACAAGAGCATGGTCATAGCTGTACTCCATTGTTTCTTTCTTCGCTGTAGGTACCTAGGTAGAATTGAAAGTACCGAGCGGAGTACAGAGTACGTGACATTTTGATAGTCGACTTGACTATTGTGCAGATTGGCTTATTAGCCTCTTCAATACTTCCTTCTAGCGTTCCAATGTTCACCAAGTGCTCAATTCATTAATTTCGTTCACCTCGATTCATCCAATGATTGAGACGAATAAGTCTAGATGAGAGTCTAAAATGCTTAGAATCCTTGTCTGCATGAAATAATACGACTACCAGTGGACTACTCCATATATCTCAGCTAATATATTACACATATAATTCCACACTAGCGACATCCACTAGCAATCTCCACTAGCAAGTCGGCTACACCTTATCATGCATGTGCATTAGCGGTAGCAATTATCGGCCGGCCTTTCGAGCTATTTATTGCTCCAGTAGATCTTTCATTGTATTTATCGATCTATAGGAACACCAATCCAAATTGGATATTGCAGAGCCGCGGGATAAATCTCCGAAAAGGTTTGGTAGCAACAACGACAACAAGAACAATCTTTTTCTGCCCCCCCTCCCCACCACAAAAACCAAGGAAAACAATACAATATACACGCTCTCAGAAATTCAAAAGGTAAGGATAAACGAGAGATAGTATCTCTGCATGCACAGCGGTAAGGTACCAGGTCAAGTACTAGGTAGGTAGGGAAAATTTATTTATCTGCATGTGGTTCTTAAAACGCTCAGTGCGGAAGCTTGAGCGCAAACAGATGGGTAGTCCGACATATAGAGTGAACACTTCCTTCCCCCTCCATTTTCACTTGGCTCTCAAACATTAAATTCTGTCTCTGAGAAATCTACTCTTCCGTTTCCGCAAACTCAATCAATTTTATCATTACCTAAAATCCTAATAGCATCTTCACCTATTGCGTCGTACTTCCTATATCCCTTCCAATCTTCTCTCTCTTTCCTATTCGTCTTTCAGGACGTCGATAGGAAAGTTTCTACAACTCTCAGATTGAATATCTCTCTCTCTACTAATAAAGGTTCAATCTTTGATCGTCATCGAGAGTCAGAAAAGTCATATCTGGCTCACGAGCAATGCCCCGAGGAATTCGGAATTCTCGACGGGATCCCGATAAATTTCCTACCACTCAACTCTTTCTCCTTGGTAAGTTTTGTTTCCACATTCCATGACTGCGCCACGCACACGATCAATTTGAAATACCTTATTAACATCGTTTTAGCAATTGTCCGTCTCGCGGAACCTATTGCCCTCACCTCTATCTTCCCTTACGCGTGGGCACTCGTAAAGAAATTCAAAGTCGGCAACGAAGATGATGCTTCTTTCTATGCGGGCCTTCTCATCTCAGCCTTTGCGCTGGCAGAATCTTTGACGGGCATGTACTGGGGTGGATTATCTGATAGAATCGGACGAAAGCCAGTATTGCTAGCAGGATGTTGCGGAACGATGTTGAGTATGATTATGGTTGGATTTGCGTCGAACATTTGGGTTGCGCTCCTCGGCAGAGCTCTTGGAGGCTTCTTGAATGGAAACATAGGCGTCATTCAGACAATGGTTGGTGAAATGGTTACGAAGAAAGAACATGAGCGTAAGTTTGATTACATTCCGACGATTACACGGAGAACCTGAACTAATTTCTTCTTGACAGCTCGAGCATACTCAGTCATGCCATTTGTTTGGAGCATAGGTACTATTATCGGTCCTGCGATCGGTGGCACATTCGCAGATCCTACATCGACCTTTCCAAACATTTTCTCACCGGATGGTATTTTCAACACATTCCCATATTTGCTTCCAAATTTGATGTGTGCTGGTCTACTATTCATCAGTATTCTAGCGGGATACTTCCTCCTTCAAGAGACACATCCGGATATGCAACCCCGGGTTTCTCTACCAGATGATACATACCATTCCGAGGAAACCCCATTGATGGCCACTGCCGATGCCATTAAAACACCTGCAGTCGACTTGCGCGCCGAAACTTACGGAACCTTCGAGGGCAGCGATGACAGTGAGTGGCGAAACACGCCCACTAAATCTATCCCTCCCCAAATTTTCAACAAAAATGTTGTCGCTTTGATTATCGCATTGGGAATATTCACATATCATTCCATGACATATGATCATTTACTACCCATTTTCCTCGAAGATACAAAGGGTCCAAGGGAAAGTATATCCATCATGACTGTCGAATTTATGATGCCTGGAGGTCTTGGTTTATCTGTCCAACAAGTTGGTGTAATTATGTCAATAAATGGCATTATTGCATTGTTTGTTCAAGCGGTCATATTTCCTTGGGCTGCGGAATTTCTCGGCACTTACAAACTCTTCATTATAGTCAGCGTGCTACATCCAATTGCGTATCTTATGGTACCTATTCTCGTCTATCTTCCCGCTTCATATCTCTATGCTGGTCTTTACACTACTCTATTCGTCCGCAATCTTCTTTCAATACTAATATACCCCGTTCTTCTCATCCTCATCAAAGAAGCTACGCCCTCTCCAAACGTTCTCGGAAAAGTCAATGGTCTTGCAGCATCAGCCGGTGCTGCTTGTAGGACTGTAGCTCCACCTGTTGCGGGATACCTGTATGCGCTTGGTAGCAAGACAAATTTCACAGCGCTAGCTTGGCTTGGAAGTGCGCTTGTGGCAGTGGTGGGAGCGGTTCAATGTTTTATGGTCAAGAGAACGAGAAGGGATGAGGGGGTTGAAGGAGAGGGAGATGAATGGATTGGTGTAAGGAGAAGAGATAGTAAAAACAAGATGGTTCCTGCAATTACGGTAATTGAGGTTGATTCGACTTCTTCATCGGAAAATAATTCGGATTCGGAGTCGGTACGGGATGAGTAGGGGATAATGGTAATGGAGAAGAAAAATGGAAAAGAAAATGAGTGTACGAAAAGATCGACGAAAACATGATGCATGGATGGCGTTGGATTTGAGGGTTGGGAAAATTCTAGAAATCGAAGGCGTATTGGTGTTTGTATATGATAGCGTTTAGCGGCACTGGGCTGGCGTTTTTGAACTGGTGAGAGGGTCGATTGGATTGGATAGGATTGGATAGGAGATTAAAACTAAAGATGCTTAATGAATAGAATATGAAAATGAAATTTAAGATGTTTAATGAATTTTTTGATTTATATGGGTTGATCGTCTTAAGGGGAGGGGCGTTTAACTATTGTGTTTTGAAGGAGACAGATGTAAGAATTCATATTTACAATGTTGAGATGTTGTAATATACCTACCTATATACCATTGGTCTCTGGGATGATGTATATATAAACATGCATGCATGTATGATGTATAATGTGTGTATGTATTGTATGCATGTATGTATGTAAGTCATATCTCCTGAGAATCTGATACCTAGGATCAAGATAGGTAGATAGGTAGATAGGGCTGATAGCGAATGTTCAATAGGTATTCAATATTCCCCGAGTCTCGAGAGTTGAGATGGAATATTCAGAATCTGATGTTGTGGTTTGGGGTTTGGGTTTGGGTTTGAGTTGGGTTTGGAATGGGTTTGGGATGGGGTTGGAATGGGGTTGGAATGGGGTTGGAATGGCTTGATGTGGATGTGTGTATGCATATGTGTATGGCACTTGATAAGAAGTTGAGAGTGAGAGTGAGAGTGAGAGTGAGGTTTAAATAAGCTTTTTGGGGATTTAGAGGGATTGGTAGGGGATGGGGTAGGGGGTTGTGAATGTAGATGTGGATTATGGGTATGGGGATGTGTATGGGGATGGGGAAGTTGTGCTGTGAGGTTTAGAGTGCAGATAGATAGAGATGAGGTATGGGGAATGGGGATGGGGGAGGGAACGGGGAGGAAATGGGGAATGGGGAATGGTGGAGTATCGGTAGTCACGTCATTCGGTTAGAGGTTGCGTGATTGAAATTTTGAGTTTTGAGTTTTGAGTTTGGATTGTTTTTGTTTTATTTTTGGGGATGGGGGGAAAGGGTAGGGGAGTGTGGGGATGGGAATGGGGATGGGATGGCATGGGATGGGATGGAATGAATGGGGTATCTATTTTAATATTATTATTGAGGAGAATACTGTGTGGGATTGAAGATGTGGTGGTATGAAAGAGTAGTATAGTCAGTACAAAAGAAAACTAAGTTGTAATCATACCTAATACTCTCATTAAAATGTTCTTCTTTCCGAAAATGTGAGATATTATCATTATTTGAGTAATAAGTTGAGAAGAGAATTTCCTATATATGCGTCTAGCCCATTACTATATCTGTGTACCCACTACCTGTTATCATCCATCACGAATGAGTATTACAAGAATACCGAGTATTCGATACAGAACGCCAGTTGATGATATGCGACTCCAATCTTCGCTGCACAATGTCCATCCTGCTCGCATTTGTGGTGGTAAAGAGATTTTCCAGAAGATTGGGGTTGGTGAATCAATCCATTTATAACAATAGCTCCGCCGCCTCAACTCCGACTCCAACTCCAACTCCAACAACGTCCATTGATTCCCTCCGATCTCCACAACATTACAAGATACGAGCAAAAGCATCTCCGAAAAAGCTGCATTGCATCTCCTCGACCTTTTCAATCTCCATGAGTATGAGTCCAACGTCGCCAACCGTGAATGCATGCAATCAAGATGATTCAATCGCACTATGCACTTCCTGACTGCTAGGCTCCAATTCCGCATCCCCTCTCTTGCCCTCACGCACATGAATCAACCTCCCTTCTTCCTTCTTTCCCTCCTCATTCTTTCTTCTCTCCTCCTCTTCCTTAGACTCCGCAAAAGCTTTCAATACGCCCCCGATATTCCACCTAATACTACAATTCGGGCTTTCTTTGCGTGTGCTAGACACGATATCTTCCGTCTCAATACCGTGTTTCTTTAAAAGAAGGCCCATGTCTTTGAAGGCTTGTTCGAGTTCCTTGGGTTCGATCTTGACTTCAACATATCCCTGTTCTATCTGTTCGCTGAGGTATTTGTTGAGTCGCCATTTGGAGAGGCTCAGGCCTAATAATAGACCTGATGCAACGGGAGTCATCGCGACAAAGTAATGGCGGGGGTCGTTCTTAAAGCGCTGGGCAAAGCGTTGGAGGTGGGATTTTAGTGATGCCATGATTAATGGAGAGGTTGATTGATTGATTGATTGATTGAAATAATGAAAGAAGGAAGATTCATAAAGGAATTGAAAAATATTTTTCTAGGTGAGATAACTATTAGGTGGTCAAATGAAATAAACTACTATTACCTAAGTCATCTGGTCCTACTATCGTCATAAGTAGTGATCTTCGGGTCCTAATTGCTGCACTAGGTAAAATGTATTAAACGAATTCACCCGAATTTATAAAAACATCTTGGATTATAATTGATATAGCCAATTCAAGGGTTTTCAGGCCTTTCAGTGTCGAAAATATATTCAAAAGGCTACTGAATACCACATAAGCGAGAATCAAATGAGCCTGATATTGGAAAGATAATAATGTCGCACAGCTCATTGAGCTTACACAGCTGCAGAAACTTAAGGCAAGTTTATTTTAGACTAGTCCCGTCACCTAGGTATATAACTCTTATGTTATGCTGTATTGAAATCCCATACTTTCAGTGGCTTTTCCCTCAAGTCCGAGGGTTTACTCGTAGGCGCACACATTCATGAAAAAAATGGCTTTTGATATCCCAAGGATGAGCTGAACCTATTCGGATTATACACGTAATCCCACTATGTGGTCTTCAAATTTGAAAAGTTTTGACTCCGTACCTCCAGAGGTAGTCTGTGAGTGGAAATATGAGAATTGCGAATTTGGTGATTGCTCTCACTTGAGGCATATCAGGTAGTGTTGTTAATGCAGATACCCGTCTAGAATAAAGTCGCCCGAATGTGTACCAGATATCAGATTCACCCAATTTCTGTGGTATCATATTTTATTGGCTTGAGGCTTAGGACGCAGAGAAAAAATATGCGTATACTGTACGTGAAGTTTCACACAGGCTGAATAAGCCATGATAAGATGAAAGAACAGTGTGCAAGCAACCACAACGAGGTAGCTAGCTATCGTATATATGGTATAGCTCCGATCATATGGAAGTGTTCAATGCACACATATACCATAAATTAGAGCCAGGTTGGAAAGGTGTGGAGATGTAGAGGATAATAATGTACCAAAATCCTGAAGAGAGCAATATCGATAGAAATCGATCACACAACTTTTTTCTGCGAGATGCAAATGAAAGTGGTGACCTTAGGAAATCATACGGAAGCGTCTCCTCCCCATGGCCCTCGTAGCACTCCTGAAAAGAGCCTTCTGACAGAAAATGACGGAAAGTGTAGGAGAAATCTTAAGGCCAGGGCTCCCCAAAAGAAGTCCCAGACAATGCGGATATATCCGATGTATGCAAACAGCTTCCAATTATTTTACCGATCACTATCCGTAAAACGTAGAGGAACGTTACTCAGGCGTAGACCCACAGCTTTTCTTGGAATCCCTCCCTCAGTTCCCCAGTTCTCCAGTTGCCACAGTTTGACCCTTAGTATGTGCAATTTCCGTCTCCCCCCATAATTGTCCATAATTCCTCTAAGGTCTCCAGCTGTATAGACACCTTTTAAGCTCCAATTATTGTTTCAAATTCGATTCGTCTCTCTCTGCTGCGCTGTGCCACTGTTTACTTGGTCTGCAAAACATCCATCCTCACAACAATTTCAGCTCTCCTTCTCAACCACCGTAAACTTAGGCATATTTGCTTTATCCTGCTCTGTGGGTTCAAAGCCAAGCTTCTTTTCTGCCGTATCGGACAAAAAGAGACCGATTGTACCCCAAGCAATGAAGCTTGCGCCTATCATTGCGCGGGTGCGCGGAGGGAGTGCTCGAAAGGACCTGTTTGTTGGAGAAAGATTAGTTGAGAATAAAACCGGGAAGCAGGGTATGAGAGTCCAATAAGAGACAAGGAGAGGACATACGATAATAACGACATCTACGAAGGGGGAACGAGACTATTTACAGAAACGGTCGTTTAGAATTTGTGGTTATCGAAATTGAAAATCGATATTCTCGGGTTATTCCGAGACACTTCGGACACTAAAATTGAATCCGACATCCCGATGATGGTAGGGGTATTCAAAGCTAGGTATGCCAAACTAAAGGCGTACCTCGAGCGTACTTGCATCGGCGCCCCCGCGCATATCCAGTCTGTTGATTGTCTTGGTATTATATCATGATCTGCTATTATAAAAGTTTTGTTACGAGCGCCAGGAGTCTTAGAAGATAAGTGTCAGCTGATGTTGAATCAAGTATTCGATTAAGTATTGATCAATCCCTGAGAAGCTTTCATCGAAAGTTCGCATCACCTCCAGTCGTCACAAATGGCAGATATTAAAGCCCCTCCAACTCTCTCCTCAGGTTTCTTGTCACTACCTGTCGAGCTCATGAGATTTGTGATTCTTTATATGGACCTACCCGCCATCAAGTCTACCCGTTTGACTTGCAAGTTTCTCTCCTTTCTCAGTACACCTTACCTCATCCTTCCCAAATTCCATGGTTTCGCCCATCGTCCCGATCTCAATCGTCTTCTTCATCTATGCCGTCATCCAATTTTTTCCTCTTGTATTCAATCTATCGAACTCAATCTTGGCGACATCGATGAATTTCATGCAAGGCATAATGCATATCTCTTCAAATCAGATCCCAATATATTCCATCCAGAAACTCGTGCCGAACTAACTGAAGAAGCTTGGTTTCGATATTCTAGTCTCAAGTTCTTGAGAGAGGAATTCAACTCCCAAATATGTGATTCAGATCTGTCTGAAGTCTTCCGTTCCCTGCCTAATTTATCAGCCCTGTCTGTTTCTATGGTCAATTTCCCCTTACCCGATGAACCGGCACTCTCTCTACTAGCATCAGTTTGGAGAGTTCCTTCGACGAGATTGTTACGCAGAGAATCGACCAAGGAGCTTTTCACCACTATTCTAATTTCACTACTCCGCAGTATTGAGGTTCTGAAGCTCAGAAAACTGTCTCACGATTGCTTGCCATTTGAGTTTTTCGCGCAGAACAAGGTTCTATTCGAGTCTATAACACCTATTTTTTATAATCTTACAGACTTACGTTTAGCTCTGGATTATAGCGATATACCTAATAACTTGAGTTTCCAAGAAGTATTTGCGAACATCGCTACATGTTTATACGCTGCTACGAATTTGGAGAGTTTCAATCTGTGCTTTCGGTCAAAGCGTAAGATTGATATTACACCACTGCTTGAGGATTTTTTGTCAAAATCTAAAGAATCGAATTTTACTTTACCTCCCCTTCGAAGCCTACATATAGAAGGCGTGTCAAGTAGATTCCTTGCCATGGAAAGCTTTCTTATATCGTTGGCGTCTACTCTCGAAGTGATAGAATTTGGAGGAGATGGATGCCATGAGCCCAATCGATTTTCTAACGGAGGTATACACTTACTGGATGGGAAATTTCGAAGGTTGTTTGAGAATGTGGAGAGAGCTATTGGAGACTCATTGACGAGATTTGTTGTTAGGGGTGATTTGGTGGAGATCGAGGGTGGGAGTTCTTGGTTTCTCAATAGGGAAGTTGGATGGCACGGGGCTATGGATTGAGATAGGATTGAAGAGCCAATGAAAAAGTGCGAGATCGGCAACAGCTTTAGTACTCACACGCTTCGCCGTTACGTACTCAACAGCGGTCCCGGAAAACACCAACCCGAGGGAACTACATGATGTTTTACGCACTGCGAATACTGGGACCTGGCTCTCAGGCCATAATTCCCTATGGTTTTGTTCATCTTCTATTACTTCTATTCCCAATACAGATAGGGATCTGAAGACATTATTACGGCCAGCCAAATCACCCATTTATACACACTGTGCATAGATTGTATGCCTCATTATGGCCGTTGATACGCAGGAAGGTAACACGTGAGTTGGAGGGAGAAGCGGGTGACCAAGGAGAAAATTTCATTGGATATCACTTTTCCGCGTCGCCATTGTGAATACAGGTTACATTATAAGGTCGTCATCACCTCCTCGGTTCTGAGTGCTGATCTTAACCTGGAAGCGAACAACCATCAAGACGACATTACCCGTTTTTATATCACAACTTGGTCATTGGAGCGGCGATATTTTGATCGAGGAACCCAGATCGTTTCGATAATTGAGGGTAACCTGAACGGATACTGCTAGCTCGATTACCACCTTGCCCAGTGATACTGTTCCAAAACTGGTATTCTGGACTTGTTAGCGTGTATTATGAACGAGATTTTTCAAAATACATTCTTAGTTTAGATTTGGCGAAGCCTAGAATTACTGTATTAGAGATTGCGCATAAAATTGGAGGTTAGGAATGGAAACTATGTATATCTATAGATACCCATGCTTCAATACATAAGCTTTATAGGATATAAGTACAACTTCAATTCTGATTCCCGTGTCGATCTATATTGAGATTGTCTTAACTGAAAAGGTACAATGGCGCATACCATAAGTGGAACATGAGAAAGAGACAACGATAGAGTGCCGACAGCTTCAATTTCAACTACCGTCGATGGGTCAAGTAGTACAAGAGTATTCGAGGCATAGCATGACAATGCCAACCCTTCCGTTGCAAAGTCGAATGGTTCGGACGATAGTGAGAAGAGATAGGATCGTGGACGCAGTCGGTAAGCTTTCATCACTGACATCAGACAAAGAATTTTCTTTTCATTTTCTGATATTCAAATTAGGTGGCCCTATGGCACTGGCGTGGGCCCTCCGCCCGGTCAGCTATATCGATACAAGGATTTAGGGTTTGTTACTTTGGTTAAGCTTTGCTTTGCTCCCCGGGGTAATGGCCGGTCGGCTATATCGATACAAGCACTTCGGGTTTGCAACTTTGATCAACCTTTGCTTCCTCTCCAGGGTAATAGCCGGTCAGCTAGATCGATATTCAATCTCGACTTTCATCACACTGTTACATGGATTGAGCTTTTATTTGCTCTCCGGGATAACAATCGGTCAGCTATCGATACAAGCACTTCGGGTTTCGCAACTTTGATCAACCCTTGCTTTGCTCTCCAGGATGACAATCATTCAGTTGTATCGATATTCAACCTCGACTTTCATCACGTTGTTATATGGATTGAGCCTTCCTTCGCTCTTTAGGATAACAGCTTTTCAGCTATATCAATACCCAATCTCCATTTTTGTTGCACTATCACATGAATGAGCTGTGTTTTGCTTTGCAGAATCATAACTGGTCAGCAATATCAACACAAGACTTCTGCTCTGGTTGCAGAGATTGAGATTTGCTTAGCTCTCTGGAGTCATTGGCACTACATCTGCTCAGAAGATCGCTTCTATCCCGGTAACCGTCAACTATGAACCCAATAGAGGAGATAGAGAGAGCAGTTAAGATTCTGAGTCCTACGATCGCCGTCCTCGGTACTGCTTTGGTAGTTCAGGACACAATTCACCGACTTCCTCATAGAATCTATCATCGCATCTTCATCGACCATAACCACAACCGCAATCACTTTGTTACTAGCATCATTTGTCTAGATGTCACTGCTGCTCCACGCCGCTCAACACAAGAACGGGACTTTGAGTTTCGTCGTAGCGGTTGAGATTTGGTTCGAAGCAATTTGCTGGCCATCATCATTCCAGGACTTCGGGGCCCACACTTTGATTAGGAAGCACTTGTTGTTTGTTGACTACCAGTGTTCAAGTCTATTCGAACAATTATCTTTTGGAGTTCATTTGAAGAAGACCGTTTGCACCATATTTCCGAACAAGCCAGCCAATCTTTAAGTTACATCCCAACGTCTCATTACACCTTAGCAAGCAAGATGTACTACTTCAACAGTGCTTCTGATTGAACTACGAAATAGACTGTTAGCATCACAATCACTGCACAAGTTGACACATTCCATCGCTCTCGTCTTCTGCACTTCAGTCGCAAGCTCCCAACTGACAATTCTCACGGTGCATGAAGCCTCAGGGACGTCTCTATATGAGCTAGCAAGCTGTGGTTTAGCTTAAGCTCAAAGACTCGATAAGCATCATCTCAATAGCGCCATTTCATTGTTAGGTCCACAAGCATACTGTATGCTATTAATGCTACTGTTACTACTGTTACAGTAGCACTCCGATGTAGAGCAAGCCAGTTCTGCACCCCAGATCTACAGCTATCTCGAACGCCCAAGCTCATAGGTCCTCACATACTTTTCAGCAGTTGAACGATACTATTCCATTATACACAACACCAAATTATGTACCACCAGAAAGATTTGGATCAGAAGGTCGTTCTAGATACAATACGTGCATTCTCTGGAAGTAGATCAACCGACAGAGGACGTGTGCTCTATGGTCAATCTTAGGATCACAGCAGTATGTTAAAAAGTTTACCTTTGCTAGGGGGTTCGTTGAAGCACAGCCAAGGCTATTTCCGTCTCCGTTGGTTTGATGTAGATCTGTCAATGCGTAACATGAGCTTTAATGGACCATTGGTCTGCTGCGATGCAAAATTAACTTTGGTTTTTTATCTTCCTTACAATTCAGCACACTAGACGACCATTTCCAACTTAGTCGATTTCAAAACATCTGAAGATGTGGGATTCATGGTTGGCTTCATATTTACCTGATTCATCAGGCCGACTGAATCATTGCAGGTGCTCTCTTCAGAGATTTATGAAGCACGATATGAGGTTTTCCAAAGGCTCTGCTGAAGCATAACAAGGAGTGTTGCTTCTCAGAGTAACCACAAAGCTATGAAAAGGAAAGCAGATAACACGTCACTCAATCGCAGGTGCCAATAACACGCCTACGAGTTTTACACGAACTGCATCTACTAACTGATTGTACTCTTAGTACTTGGATGCATCTTGTATTTGCTACTAAGCCATTGGACGTCAACAGCAGGAAATCTGTTTCAATTTAAAGAGAGGACACAAGCTAATCGATCTAACAATGAGCATGCTGTAGGTGGGAAGAACAAAACCTCTATGATTTTCCTTGATGGTGTTTTGCTTCAAGGTTGAATAGTGCCACAAGTCGCCGCCGATGCCAAAACTACGACGTTGATACAAATCAGTCGAACAACCTCAGTGGAGCCGGCTGCCTTCTTCAAATTATTTAAAGTCAAGATTTTCCTAAATTGAAATCACACAAGTCGAACATGAATCTCTTTCCACGACGTTTCATCTACCTTCAAAACAGATTTCCCAGTCAGCATTGGACATGACTTATGCTTGCCTTGGATTTGCAGCGCTTGCCAGAGCGATTGGATACTTATGACGCTACCTCGCCCCATTCTCCTGTGGAATTTAGACCAAATTGGACTGTATCATATCGGAACCAGCAGTTTAACCAAACTTGAAAGAAAAACGCCACATCAGAGTTCTCTTACGATATATTGATAGGCCGTTATCCAATCCTTTCACTGACAGAATTCTGGCTTCGGTTTCTACATACATATTCTTTACTTCTAGCTACGTTATATGGCGATCTCATCACGGAGGATCCCATGGCACGGAGTGTAATGTAAGAACTTTTTGAGCTTTTCAAACTCCCCAATTCATTCTCTTCTACTTTTGCTCTCGTTTCTCAATCAAATATCGAAATAATCACTTCCGGAAGCAATGCGGTAAAAGTCTTATCTGGCGGGTTAAAGGCAACGTTGAAAGAGATCGTCTTAATACTGGTAGAATCGACGTGATCACTAGTGCTAAAGTGCCACTTGCTAAATGGGTTGATGCTATTACTGGCCTGAAGGTCGAACCAAAACTGCCGACGCCGGTTCCAGAGTTAGCTCCTGAGTTAAGTCTGGAAACGTCTTGCCTCGATATGCTCTGCAATCCATATGCCGGGTGCTTGGTGGCCGTGCTGGCTTTTCATGTTTACGGGCACGGGAGCGGCGAATCTGAATAGAAGATTCTTAAATGTCGTTTGGATCGTTGTTGATGTGTGCCCATAGCTTGTGGGGGTCCTTGGGAAGGGTTGACAACCATGGGAGCGCCGGTGGCGGTGCAGACACAAAGGGGATGTCTTCTGCAGCTCTCCTCTCGGCCTACCCTCATTACTATTTAACTTAGTCGAGCAGAAATACCCCACGTCATACGAAGACTCTCCATCAAGACCTAGCCATAATGATGTGCAGGGTACCAAGATTGGAACTGGACATCGCATGTTGAGCTGGAGCAGATTGAGCCAGCGAGAAGCGTCTATCGTTACCCAGTGGAGACGGCGAACGTGAAGGATTACGCTTAATTCTGACTCGCTAACTGTGGGCTGCTTTCTCACAACGCCTTACTTTTATCATTATAATGTCTTCTAAATTCATTGGCTGAATGACAACAATACTTGAAGGTAGATCTAAACAACTAAAACTCATAACGATGACATCCATGCGTGTTTCTATACCACGACCCCGCTCTATTAGCTATCTCCATATGTGTTAGCGGCTGCAATAACAAAGGACGATACGAGAGGCAGGGATATAATCAAAGGACTATACTCACTTTCCTTCCATTTGTACGAACATACCAGTTCTTACCGAGGACGGTGATGATTGTCATAGTATTAACGGCTCAATGTCGCTGTGAGTAGGTAGCGTGTAGCTTTTGCTTCCTCTCAAGATTATTCACACACAAGAATAATTGGATCGAAGCGGAATCCTCTTTCTAACTTGTTGTTTTATTTGCGATAGACGATAGGCAACCTGGAGCGACTACATGTCAGCGACTCAGCTTCAACATCCATCTCCGTTTCCAGTTTTGGTTGAGGCAAAGCACCGAACGCGTTTCAACTGATTTTCGCGACATCTCGATCACATCAATATTCTTTAGTAACCCTCTAAAGAAATTCCTCGCCACTAGCCTCCGTCTCCATGTATTAAGAGATTTTGGTAATCCTTATAAAACTGTCTTTGTCTCTGAGTTGTTGATCGGGGGCTCTAATTGGGAAGGAAGGATAATTTGATTAGGATATGATGGGCGACAATCAACTGGAAGAGGAAGATGGAGTACACACACAGAGACCAGGATAAAAAAAATTCTTCCTCGATTTAAACCGGTCTTTTTTGGCCATGGTAACTTGAGGTCGAGATCTGTGGTAGTCGTATGAGAAAGGGCTATAAAGTTGCTGGGGAGAGCAATTGTTTGTTGAGTTGAACTTTTGGAGGAGATCTTTGGGTTTGTCAGGTCATGTTATTCAAGTTATAGGAATTAGTTAATGGATTGATAGATGAAATATATCTTGGCTTAAAAGACACTATGGAATTCCAAAGAATTATCGATGTGCTTTCTCTTTTGTTGAGCGTAAATTCGGATGTCCACACACATCTATCAATGTACATTCATTCATCCAAAATTTCCATTCTTCTCGGCTCGTCTCATTTTATGCTCACCACTAACGAAACCAAAAAACCGATAAACCATCTACCCACTCCCCTATTATTCTGGTACAAATCTACCTTCATCGAAGCCACCCATTGCAATCTACCTCTAACCTCTCCCTGTCCAGGTTTACTATCTCGACCATCGACTAACTCCAAGTAGCCTTCCTCGCGGCCATTGCCACTGCTTTATATGCTTTCATTTTTCTTCTCTTTTCTTTTCATTTTTTTACTCAGGACAATCAAGTATCTGAACCTAGTATTGGTGTTTACTAAGAGAATAGATAGATGAATGAAGACAACAATAGAATAATACACTTACCAAGAAAAAGTCCTCTTTCTCACACAAACATCCCTATCCAACCCAAATTAAGCAAACTCACCAACCCCACCCGCAATCCAACATCGATTCATTACCTACCTAGCTGCCAGCCATCCATCAGCCCCCTAATCACTTCTTAGCGAACAGCTAGCTAGCTAGCCAGCTATTCCGCCACTCGCTAGCCCAAGTCAGTCCGTCGAGTTACTAGGTATGTCACACATGTCTCTCAGATCGATTTTCTCTACACATCGAGACATCCAAATACACGCACGCATACACATACACATACACACACATACGCATCCCCAATAATCCAACTCTCCACACCTCACCCCCTCACCATCAATACAGAATGCAAACCACGTCTCAGCCGACAGAAATCCCATAACCAGTAACCCCTCAGACCAACTAACCACACTCTCCCAACGCAACCGCATTCCAATGAACAAC